TGTATAATTCATTTGAATATTTTTTTGTAATTGTTTTAAAACTGATGATTCAAAATTAATATATTGTAATATTGGATTACTACTAGGTGAAATCTTTATTTTACAATCTTGCAATTTTTGAATTCTCCATTTAGCATAATCGTTTAAAAATGATAAGAAAGAGAACCGCGTATCGACGTTAACTATACCATCTATCAAAATTTGATCCATGGATTCTCTTAAGGATGGTCTTGACTTGATTTTTGTAGCCAAAATTTCCGAAACTATTTCATCTGCTGGTTGAATTGTAGTCTCCAATGTCCATGCTAACTGAGGCAAACCTATTCTATCTACATATAAATCATTTTCTTTCAAAAATATAAAGTCCCTGTATGCAGAAACAAGATCGCCGAGATCATCCTTAGAACCATCATTTATTATTTGGTGCATATATGCAAATGACTTCGAACTTTTTTCATTATAACTCCACACTACTTGATTTTTATTTGCATTAATTGAAACGAATGGCAAAATAGTTTCTAGAAATTGAGGATTTCGTTCCCATGGTACCCCATCATATATATTCCATTGATCTTCCTCCTTTACAAGCTGGATAATTGGTTTTATTGAAAACCATTTGTAAAACAAACCTAACTGTAAACCATTAGATAGCTTGAACGTTTTCAGAAAGTTTCTATCCAGGGATAAGTTATAATATTGACAGCCATGCACTTTCGAATCAGGAATAAAACCATAAGAATTTAAGAATGTAAATATTTCTTCTTTTGGAGAATAACTGATGTAAATTTCGAACTTCGTATCTTTATGGATCTTTTTAGCGTGTAAATTTTTATATTTCTTCAAATCTATCATTAATAATACATCTCCAGTGAATCTATCCACATCAAAGTGTGCATTTTGAAGATCATTCGAATGATTACAAAAATCAAGGAGTGGCACTAGAGTAGAATTGACCACAAAATCATCTCCATTTCCTTCCTCATCAAGGTCATCATCATCATCATCATCGTCATCGTCATTGTCGTCGCCACCATCATCACTACTCTTGTTAGCTGAAACTGAGGTTGGACTTGATCTAATTTCTTCTGGAATCTCCAAACATCGGGATAAGATTGCAAAATATAATTGTTTGATAGTATCTTTTGTAATTTTCTTAATATTTTCTATATTGTCAAAATAATAATTGAAATAACCGATAACATCATTCAAAATAATTGGAGTACCATAATGCCCAAAATATTCTAACATCAAATTTGATTCCACTATATCTTTATGGAAAACAGAAGTAGTCATCAGTACATTTTGTAAATAAAAAGTAATTACTTTTGGTAATTCATAACCATTTTCAATCAGTAATTCAAATAGAATAAAATAAAATGCCAATATATTATTTTCATTTAAAATATACATGAGAACATTTGCATTTTCCAAATAAACTGTAAAATTTGAGAAATATTCTTTAATTGCACTTGTGGTGATCTCATATTGTTCATTCGAAGAGTAATTGGTTTCATCGTTTATTAGTTCCAAAATCGTATCTATATTATAAGTATGTTTTTTTGGAATTCTCAATAATTCTATTAGATCTTCATTTAGAGATATGGAATTCTTGTCTAAAAACAAACCGAATCCCTTAACTTCATCATTAGGGTCTGAATGTTCCACTGACACACCGTCATGAACACTGACGTCTGTATTATCCCTAAACCATTCTAGAACATCCGCCATAATTTAGAAGATAAAAGAGCTATGTATAGTTGTGGGGGAGGAGAGAAGAAACAATGGAACCACCGATAAACTCCAATCTGGCCTTGTTTATGTAATGAATGCTATTCCAATTGTGATACTGCAAACGAATCTCCTGTAACAATTTTCTCTTTAATCAATGTCAGATACAGTTTTAGTTTTTAATCTCGATTTACCCAATGCTATAGCGTAAAAGAGTCAGAGAAAAATCGAAATCATCACGTGACCAACCTAATCATAATGACTATACCCAACTGGATAACCACTAAGTATTTTTGAATGTGGTGGGATATCCTGCTCTAGTGGTCAAAATAAGCTCAACAATAAATACCAATTCAGTAGCAGAGTCTATCTGAACCAAACTGTCAGTAAAATCTTCTTGCTTTGCTGTCCCCATCATATAGTTAAACTCTCAATAGTTCTGACCCCCATACTATTTTCTTTTTTCTTGCCATTATCAGCAAAGAAAGATTAGAACATATATAATATCAACAAAAAGGACATCATTTAGAATACCAGCCCAAACCTAGTTCCATCTGCTCTTTGACCAAACTTAAAACGGGACTCGTCTTCCTTAAAATTAAAGATTCACCATCAAGAAGTTTTATATATAAAAGGGACCTTAAATTCAAAAAACACTCCGGAAATTGAAATGGTAACTTTCTCTTGTTACAAAATCGATGGGAATAAAGATAATAAAGGCAACAGGTACTGACAATATGTTTATTTATGTTTACCTTTGTTAAATTAGTTGGACTGAGTACTTGGTGGTTTTGATAATATTTTCTTTTCAAGTTTCATACATATATATATATATATGTGTGTGTGTGTTTGATTGTTTATTGATCAAGATTTTTAGGTAACCAAGGATTGTTTTGTAGTTTGAGGTTAAAAGACTGTGCTCTCATTATTTTGGTCCTCAACCCAGGATTCTCTCAAGAGACTAGACCGATTGATATATTAAAGTTGAAAGAAGCAACAAGGACATAGCTGTTATTGCTTCCACATTAAAAAAACAAAAGCCAAATATATCTAATTATACCCACTAGTATATCCTCAGCGGCTAATTGGAGGTTTCCATTCTGTTTTGAAATCTGATCAGGGTAACATAGGCGTTGAAAACGATACATTTATTTACCCGCACAACATATCCCATCACGTGACCACTACTTTTTATTATTTTTGTTTGTTTATAGTTTTTTTACTGGATCAGGAAACAAAGGTAGCAGATTCGTTCTCGAAAGTTTTAGTTTAAATAAGGCAAAGAGTAAGAGTACGAGTAGGAGAGAGCTTAAGATTTGGTATCATTATTACTTTCGAATTTTTTTTCAGTTTTTCAGTTTTTCAATTGGAAAAGTTTCACGGTAGTTTCCCTATTGTGCTACAAGTGATTAACTGTGATCATTGGGTCGAATTATCACATTATTTTTCAGATTTTTTCTTTTTGTTCCTATTCTTATTAGCGAAATCTAGCCTGAAAAGACTCTCTGTTTGGTTGTTCTGGATCAGGTTCAGATATATTCATCCATTCATTTTATCGAGAAAATTGATACAATTTAGATACATCTTTGATTTCGAACTGTCAACAAAAATTAGCTTTTATCTCAAAGTTTGATTTGGTGAGAGATAAGTTGAGACAACAATACATCATATCAATTAATCAATACAATTTTTTGAATCATTGGAAAGGATTGATTTGTTATATATACCATTACTGAAGTATAGTTATCTTTTGGTTTATTAGCTGTGTGGGTTTTTGTTTTTGTTTTTGTTTTTTTCGAATTTCTTAAATTAAGCCTTTTAACGTGTAACTTTAATAAACTTAAAGATTGTTTTTTTTACGTGCATTTAACAAACGTATTGTGAAAGCATCATATTATAATTGTTATTTATATTCACTATTCCTTATCCAACAATCGATTTTTAACTTTCTGGGTGACAAGGAAGAATAATATTTCACTTAGTTAATAACAGTATCCAAACATTCTCCGTATTACAATGAGTACTGCTGCAGTTGCTGTTCCAACTAATAGCGTTGGTATTTCAAACTTACCAAACCAACGTTATAAAATTGTCAATGAAAAAGGTGACCATTTCACTATCATGGTTTGTGGTGAAAGTGGTTTAGGTAAAACCACTTTCATCAATACTTTATTTCAAACTACTTTAAAACACCAAGAGCCTCGTCGTAATAATGGTCCAATTAAGAAGACTATTGATATTGATATTACTCGTGCTGTTCTAGAAGAAAAAAACTTTAAATTAAGAGTCAATGTCATCGATACACCAGGTTTTGGTGATAATGTAAACAACAATAAATCATGGCAAAGAATCATCGATTTCATCGACGATCAACACGATTCTTACATGCGTCAAGAACAACAACCATTCCGTAAAATTAAGTTCGATTTAAGAGTCCATGCCGTACTATATTTCATAAAACCAACTGGTCATGGTTTAAAACCTTTGGATATTGAAACTATGAAGAAAATCTCAACTCGTGCAAACTTAATTCCTGTAATTGCCAAGACCGATACTTTAACACAACAGGAATTATCCACTTTTAAATTGAGAATTAGACAAGTTATTGAAACTCAAGAAATTCGTATTTTCACACCTCCAATTGACGAAAGTATCTTATCTAATGGTAGTGCTACTGAAGATAACAGCGCTGCCATCGAACATGCCCGTCAATTAATCGAATCAATGCCATTTGCTATTGTTGGTTCAGAGGAAAGATTCACCAATGATAAAGGTGTCCAAGTAATTGCCAGAAAATACCCTTGGGGTTTGGTTGAAATCGAAAACGATTCACACTGTGATTTCCGTAAATTAAGAAGTTTATTATTAAGAACTAATCTGTTGGATTTGATTTTATCGACAGAAGAGGTCCATTACGAAGCATACAGAGCTTTAAGATTAGGGAACAGTAATGAAGAGAACAAAGATTCCTCTATTCCAATAAATACCCCAGCAAGAAAATTATTATCCAGTAATCCACACTTTAAGGAAGAAGAAAATGCATTAAAGAAATACTTCACAGAACAAGTCAAGGCAGAAGAACAAAGATTTAGACAATGGGAACAAAATATTGTTAATGAAAGAGTTAGATTAAATAATGATTTAGAGGACATACAATCAAAGGTCAAAAAATTAGAGGAACAAGTTAAAAATTTGCAATTAAAAAAGCGTTAAATTCATGAGATAAAGGTTGAGCTGATTCAATTAATATTATCTTTTATTATCGAAATATATCTTTGAATATATATTTTAAATTTTTGTAGTGATAAATGTCACCAATTTTGATTTTTTCGTTGAAGGAAAAAAACTCAAATTGTGTTGTACTAGTTAGATTATGGTTATACTACTATATAGGAATAATAAGATAGTTAATTTAAAATATCAATTTTATATTATTAATATTAATGAGATATGAGTTTTATCATTACAAAATCTGAAAGCTAATTAGTTCACTTTATACATGTAGTTTTTATTATTTAATTAATTTATTCCAATTCAGCCAAATATTTTTCAGCATCCAAAGCAGCCATACAACCAGAACCGGCTGAAGTAATAGCTTGTCTGTATCTGGAATCTTGAACATCACCGGCAGCAAAAAAGCCTGGAACTGAAGTCAATGAAGTACCTGGGACAGTCTTAATGTAACCAACGTCATCTTGATCAACTTGACCTTTAACAATTGAAGTAGCTGGAGTGTGACCAATAGCGTAGAACAAACCGTTGACTGGCAATTCTGATTCTTCATTGGTATTGACATTTTTAATCTTTAAGGATTGTAGTAATTTACCATCACCTTGAGCTTCTAAAGCAACGGTATTGTATAAAATTTCAATTTTTTCGTTTCTTTCAACACGTCTTTGCATGATGGTAGAAGCTCTCAAATGATCCTTTCTAACCAACATAAAGACTTTAGAACCGTATTTAGTTAAGAACTCAGCTTCTTCACAAGCGGAGTCACCACCACCAATAACAGCTAATGGTTTTTCTCTAAAGATTGGGACGGCACCATCACAAACAGCACAAGCTGAGATACCCTTTTGCCAGTAACTGTCTTCACCTGGGATATGCATTCTCTTAGCAGAAGCACCAGTGGCAATAATTAAAGCATCAGTAGTAACTGGTTCAGCGTCTTCGTTGAATTCAGTCCATAGCTTGAATGGTCTTGAAGATAAATCAACTTTAGAGATGGTTTCGGTAATAACTTTAGTACCGAACTTAACGGATTGTTCCTTCATTCTTTCAACCAATTCACTACCGGTCAAAGCATCTGGGAAACCTGGGAAGTTTTCGATTTCAGTAGTGGTAGTCAATTGGCCACCAGCTGCAATACCGTTGGCAAACATACCTTCATATAAAGTTGGTGGAAGTTCAGCTCTAGCCAAGTAAATGGCAGCAGTATGAGCAGCTGGACCAGAACCAATGATAGTAACCTTGTTGTGAACCATTCTTTTAAATATATGCAATGACGACGTTTGAATTAGATTAAACCGTGAAATGATGGGTACAATCTATATAAATTTGTTGTAGAACTTTAAAACTATAAAATCAAAAAACTTTTAACCTTTAGAGGATGACAGTTATTCTTCTATACTATAATATCTTCCACTTCTAGTGAAAATTTATACAACAAAAATATTTAATAGTACGAAATAAAAAGAAACCTTAACCCATCTCGAAATTCATTAAAAAAAAATTATTATCACCAACTTCAAATAAGCTTCTTTCCTTATATATACTTTTCTTGATCCAATCGAGTACCAGATACGAATTCTAGCCATATAGAATCCATCACAAGGTTTACTAATTGCACCACTTTCTCACCAAATATTGATGGGAAATTGTCAAAGTTAAAGTTTCCAAATTACAAAACTTATTACCAGTTCTGGACTTAACCTCTTCCTCTTCCTCTTCTCTTCACTGTATTATTAATAGAGTTTCCGTTTCGTACAACATCCGGGCTGGCTGCCTATAAGAACCAATATTCGAATATTTTAGATGCTTTTATTATGGAAACATAGTTCGATGCATTAGAGGTTTTTTTTGTCATTGGTAGCTGAAGTGTAGGATAAGAGAGTGAAGAGCAGTGAGATGTGATTGAAATCTTATTAATTAGTTTAGTCTAGGTTCTTTTTTTGCTTTTTTGTTTTTTGTTCTTGTTTCTAGTATATTTTTGTGATGAAATTGATTGTAGACCTGAGCCTTTGCTGTCCAGTCCTGTAAAGAATTATGATAACAGTTTAGTTCGAATGAAGGTTTCTTCTTTGTACAGGGACAGAGACAGAGAGGGCGTAATGCTGTTATTTCTTTTCACAGGATGGAGGAATAAGAATCGATTTGTCGACAGAAGGCTTGTGTAAATATTTTTTCTTGGTTGTTTTCTGTGAAGGGTTTGTCCAATTTAGAGTGGGATAGATATACCATGCATGCATGCATGTAAGTAAACGTTTGTATCAACGGAGATTATCAATCTTAAGTTAGGTCTACTTCTCTTATACAATAGTTAACCTCTTTTTTGGTGGATACTCAAGCAGGTAGGTCACGTGTCATGTTTCTTTTAAGGTCACTGGGAGTAGATGCTATTGATGATGAGGATAATAATAATAATAATAATAATAAAGACACACATACACATACACATACACATACACATACATACACACACCTGTTGCGTTTGATATAAATCGTTGATCATGAATGTAGATCTGTTTATTAATTGGTGATACCGTTGAAGTTCCATATGGAATTGGTAATCCACCGTTTTGAACCAGAATGGAACCATTCCCACTTAAGAAATAGTTCTCTTTCAATTGAGGAAAAGAGGACCTGCCTAATTCCGGTTACATGAGTTCCTGGGCTCTTAGATTGTAATACTTTCTATTTTCTCATTTAATAAGAAATTCCCAATTTTAACATTCGATATAGCAATTCTACCTAATTTGTTATTAGGATTTTCAATTGACCTTTCTAAAAAGATCAAACTCATTTACACTTTAGAACCATAAATATTATGAGAAACTAGTATTCATTCTGAATTGGTTCTTGTGGATACATCGCTTGAAACCCCAAGGAATTCATTGACCTCTTTAGCACAAGATTCCATTATATCCTTGTTCTTGATTATCTTATTAATGAAATTGTCCAAACCTTGTCTCCTTTTATTCAACCAATGTCTATTTAAATTGATCTTACTGAATCTCCAGTAGTCATACCAATATACCTTTGGTGGTAGCTCAGGCACTTGTACATTCTTTCCTATTTTCGAAATGATCTCTGCCCTTAGTTGATCAAATTCACTATACCTTCTATAAGAAACAATCTCAAGAGGGATACTAACACGAACAGGTTCAACCTTGTGAACTATCAACTCTGTAGTAACCTTCCAAATCGTGAACTTTGCTTCATCAGAGGTAGTTATACTACCATCCCCTACATATATTCGCTGCACTTGGCATCCCTCATCAACAACAAATTCTTCTGAATTATCACCACCTTCCTCTAATAAATGAATTGGTTCAGGTGTCAACATATTTAATTTCCTTGTACTCATTACTTTTACCTTGCTTTCTTGCCTTGTGGAGCAGCTAATCTTATCAACTGTATGCTCTGCTATCTATTTAAAATGCTATATTATATTAACTTATATTGATATACAACTATAGCTAAGAGATTAGACTAACCTCGCCGTTTAGTAGTGAATTATAAACAGTACAAATCAAAGGAGACTAATGTTCAATCGCCAATGCCCATCCATTTACAAGCATTTAAAGATCATTTAGTTGGCCATGTTTGGCTTTAGCAACATCTATTTCTTCTTACCTTAATTATCCTATAGGCTAAAACGTTTCACGCCTTCGTTAATGGCCCACACTTCAAGAAGCAGTTTATTTAGGTAATGAGTTAAACTCTCAGTCTGAATTGATTAATATACTTATATACCTATGTATCATATTCAATGAACATTATATAGATGTCTGATGATGTGATTCAATTTCAACTATTGGTTTAATTCGAATTATAAAATAGACTTATCAAAACTTGAAGTAATTTTTTAATAGTATATTGGTTGATAGGACAGTAAAATGAATGAGAGAAACCTAGTAAATCTATTGAATTAAATGCATAGATATTTATTTTCCCTGATTAATTAGGTTTACAATGATTGATTTCTATTATTAAATTAATAACACGACTTGGTGTTGGATACCGGTAGAGGTAAATGCATGAAAAAACCCACTTGCTATTATTGCTGTTGATCTTGTTGTAACAATGGGCTTGTTTCTGATTCCCCTTGAATTAAATCTTCATTGAACAATTCTCGTTCAAGCTCTCTTAGTTTCATATCACTTGAGTATAAAACATAATGCTGATAGAAATAAATCATATCAAATGCAACTGTACCTGCACTACCGAATATGAATGGCATTGCATTCATGATGAATTCATGTTTATCGTCTGAATCAAAAAAATTACAACTCGTGAAGATGCTTATATTGTATGTTATATTACTCAGTAGTGTCATGGCAAATAAAGTTGGTGAAATACCATCTGTAGATTTTCTTCTATAATTTTTAATCAACTGTGGCAATCTTGCACCAACGTAAAAAAAGGCACCCAACCATGACATCAAAACACCAATTTCATGATCATGTGGACCTTTACCAGGTATTGGGATTGGTGCAATGCTAGTATTTGAATCTTGACTAAAGAATGGGAATGCTTCAGCTGCACTGACTTGTGTTGAAAGTAATAACGCACTAGCTGCCATTATTCTAGATCTCTCACTGCCATTTGTTCTTATTCTCTGAAAAAGGCTGTCAGTATCAATATTTTCAGAATCTCCATCTTGCAATATATCTGATGAAGCTAATATAGGTTTAGATTCATGACTAACTGTAGCCAACTTATTTTCATGAAGCACACCATAGTAATAGTACTGTAAACACACCACTAGATCATTAGCTAAGAAATAGATTGCCAAAAGAATCTGAAACGTTAATTGATTAGTCAATGTAGCTCCAATTATCGATGTTATATCACCTAATAACCATGCTAATAAAAAATATGGCGATAGACCTTCCACTGTTTTATCTCTATATGTTTCAATAATTTGAGGCATCAAAGAAACAAAAGACGCTAGGAAGGATACTGTCCCAGTGAGCTCTGATATTTCAGGCCATAAAGTTTCCTTACAGGACATATCTTGTTATTAAAACGATCAATAAATTTCGAAGTTTATCTATCTGCTTCGTTATCTTTTTAAAACCTAACCAACAAATTTATATGGTTCAATACAAAAAGTTCAGAAATAATAAGAACCTGGGCAATAGTATACCTTCAAATGTTGCTCAGAGACTACAATATAACTTATATACCTTTTTTTGATCAAGTACAATCTATATGCTTCGAATTATTAAACTAATTTGAAGTGCATTTAAAAGTCATAACTAGCAACCTCTTTAGTTTTAATAGCAAGAAATGATACGATGTCATTAAGAAATGACGTAGAAAAGATCAAAATACGTAAAGTATATGACATAAGGAGTCAAGATATAGATGATGATGTAATTGTAATTTCCATTAAAACAATCTATAAAAACTATGAACGAAGTAAAATAACTATATATCCATGACTAACATTAACATTAACAATAACTCTTTTTTTTTTAACCCTTTTAAAATTTCGAACTGGTTCTTATCATATGGAGGAAGTCTCTTAATAAAAATACTATCGAAGTATGATTTTGGAAAACTTTCTGAAATGGAAAACCAGGTAAGATAAGATATCCAATTTATATTTACATTAATTGAATAAGCTTTAAAATTTCTTGTAATAATGCAACCATTTCCTTATGAATACATTGTTGATATATCCTTCGTCGAATAGATTATCTAATGGCATAGGAATGCAGAATGATTTATCTTCTAATGTCGTTATTGAAATCAAATCATTGAAACCGAAATGATAATTTAAAAGAACATTAAGTGCAAATGAAGCTAAAACTTTGTATTCAACAATAACTTTTTTTGATTTGTAATACTCCCATGATTTATTTTTGAACTTTTCTCTATTAATTGGATAATTTTTAAAACATTGACTGTTAGCAACTACAATTATATCCATTATCCACATGAATAGATTATGATCAACACGTTCTAATATATTCCACCATGTAGTAGAATTTAAGCATGATGTATTAAATTCACTTTTAAAACTATCATCTTGAGATAGATATTTTGAGACTACACCTCGTGGTTCAACTATCTTAATATCATACTTTTCCTTAGTGAAATCATTAAAACATGTCAATTGAATCAAGTTTACTAATTCCCAAACGTGCTGAAGCGATTGATTCGTAGAAGGATCAGTTAGAAAATGATGGAATAATAGTTCATCACCAGGAATCAAACCTTGATGAGAGATAGATTTCAATTGAAGCATTAATAGTAAATCATTTGATATATTCTGTTTACCACTTATTTTGTTTTTTATGCTATTATCAATTAATTTCTCTATTTCAGTTTCTTTGTTTCTTGGGAATTCCATTTTATTCAGCACTTGCATGATTTGTTCAAATGATTCGATGTATTGTTCTGATATTAATCTAACATCACTTTGTAGTAGTTGATCATATATCGACCATCTTGTATCAACAGTTAATGGTGTCTCCCATATCATTTTCTTTAAACTTTGAATAGAGGAGTTCCGTGTTACACCTCTATCTAATAACAGAACATATTTTTGTCTGTTAGTTTCATCTTGAATATGTCGTTCTTCAGATTCTTTATTCCTATCCAGTTGTTCAAAAGATGCAATGCTCATACTTTTAGATATTTGATTTTCATGCAATTTCTTTTCTTCGGGATCCTTTGGAGGTAACCAACTTGGTCTTGAATGACTGACAACATCAAGCTTATCTTCAGACACAAGTATTAGATCCTCCATACCTTTTTCACTCGCTTCTTTGAATTCAATAGGTAACACTTCCGCAGAGTCTGTACGTTCGAGTAGTTTAGACCTGGACAGACGATTAGAGGATTGTAAATAAACTGATGATAAATTTTCAGTAGTTTCCCTTATGAATTGTAGATCGGAAGTAGAATCTATCCCAGGAACAGGAGAAGTTGGCATAGCCTTGAAATCAAGTGCAGATGACATCAATGGAGGTTGAAAATGAGGTACTGATCCAAAATTATGTCTTTGAGGAAATCTTGGTTGAGGTTTAGATTGATGCGATCTGACATGCTTTGGATCCCCCGAAGACATCAAAAATGAATTAGTAGAGAAAGAAGCCATCGGTATATTCCAAATTAATGAATCATCTATATCACCTTCCTGTAATTCCATATTTGGTTCTTGTTCATCATAAAATCTTTCTTTTTTCCTGATTGAATTTCTTAATGAAGTATCATTTCTCTCCTTACGCATACGGTATCTCTGAGAGGGCGTCAAATAATGTTGCTTATTCGGTAATATGGCCGAGGTACTGTTAGAATGATCATATAATGTAGAGGTGCCTAGATGTTTTGAAGAATAAGAATTAGATCTTGGCCTAAATGGCGGAAGAGTACCCGTACTTTTCATATTATTCGCATTTATTGTACTTGAAGTTGTATTAGTAGAAATCATTTTATGTGCTCTACTCTGTGGACCATTTTCATAAGAGAATGATTTGTCATGATTTCTATTTTCATTTGGGATGTGTAACGTCGAAACACTATCGGTAGAGATGAATGATTCTTCAAAGTTATCGGAGATAAATGAACCGTCCATATTATGTTCATCGGATGCTATAGGTCCAACAGTTAAGTTATTCAGACCTAGATTGATCCCACCTTCTGAAGATAATTCATCAGTCTCTACAGATGATGCACCCGAATTGTTATCATCTGAAAAACCTGAAGAGAAAAGTTCTGAATTTTTTGTAACTATGGAATCATCAGAAATTGGGCGATCGTTCCTATGTATGAAAAGACCTCTTGGTTGTGGTAATTCAGTCATATTTTCACCACTTACCTCATACTTTCCTCCATAATTGTCCGATATAGATGCCAGAAGATTATCACCCGGTCTTCTTGCAATACCCAAACCTAATCTTTTACTATTCATACTTGAATTAGCATCCGAGGATAAGCTATTTGCAGTTATTTTTTGACCCAATTTAGTATTCACACGTCTCTTATCAAGGACCTCTGAATGGGCTCCTTCTTTTACACTAGCAGTCATAATTGATACCCAAATCTAATTATTTCCCCTGGAATTGAAAATGTCCAAACTAATAGAACAGTTGGGCAAAAAAAAAATTAATAACGAAATGAAAAGGAGAACTAAAACGAAAACTACACAATTACCAGAGAGATAATGAACGTATCCCACGAGTATTCAAATTAATAAAACAAAATGAAATTGAACTAAAATAACACAAACTAAAATTACAGTGCTCAGTTAAACACAATCAAACGAATGTAAAAAATAAATTCAAGCAAAACAAATGACTATTAGTTAGCCCAAATCCTGCCGGTAAAACTCACCCTAAGAGGAACCTTTAAACAACAGAAAAATATATTAGATATAACAATATCTATTCCTTTTCCCTCCCTTAGCGATAGTGTAAGATCTAAGATCAACGAGGATTATTGTTAATCGTTAAGATTCAAAAGTCTAGGTCAATTATAAAACCACAAAATTTCGAGAACTTGAAGAACTATCTAACTGTAAAAGACTAATGACCTCTTTATAACTGAACAGCAACGTCTCAAACCTTCAGAACTTCGATTAAACCTCCTTTAACCAGCCAATCTTTAAAACTTCTTCAAGATCAACTTTCTTCTCGATGATTGTTATTTTTTTTTTCATTTCGATTTCGATATTTTGATTTCGAAGGCTTTAAGACAATGTCGAAATGAACCATTAAAAATCGACAATTTGTTGAAGATACATACGTGAATTCCATGTATTTAACCCATTCAAGTTGGATGAAGTTCGAGGTGGATTATGGTATGGGTTTGTTATAATATTTGCTTGATTTAGAGGGTATTACTGAGCGATTGGTATAATACTTGTATAATATATGAGGCGGAGTTATCCGGGTAATTATATATTCTATTAAACCGTTCGGAAAAGGAAAAATATTGAAAACAAAACAGAAGCTCTGTAAAAGATCGAATTTAAGAGTAACTAGATCTGTTAAATATTGGATATTTGCTTTGAAAGGGCCAGTTAGCAAGCGCCAAGATCATCGGAATAGTCTCTAACAATACCCAGAAGTATAATTCTGAACTTTAATTTGGGTTTTAAGAGCGTTCAATTGCTTGCAACCGTACTTTCATCAAGATAACATAAAAAAAGGAATAAATTGCCAGACCAAAAGGACCTAGAACTATTGCTTGGATAGTTTAGTATTAATTCGTCATGAATATTAGTGCTACTTTAAATATATTTAGATTGCTTTATAATCCTAAACTATGTGTACCTCAGTTAGCTGTACCCACGTTCAATCAGATTCCTGTTCCACTTGATCCTTCAATCAAGGCAATTGTATTTGATAAAGACAATTGTTTTGCATACCCTCATGAGAATAAAGTTTGGAATGAGTATAGTGACAAATGGGAACAATTTAAAAAACACTACCCACCAGAGGCATTACTCATTGTCAGCAACTCTGCTGGTTCCAGCGATGACGTTGGTTATAAAGAAGCATTGCTTTTAGAAGAATCAACTGGTGTTTCTGTATTAAGACATTCAACAAAGAAACCTGGCTGTCAAGAGGAAATATTAAACCATTTCAAAAGTAAAAATTTAATCCAAAGTCCCGAAGAAATTGCTATTGTTGGTGACAGATTGTTCACTGACATCATGATGGCCAATCTAATGGGATCCTATAGCGTTTGGATTACTGTCGGCGTAAAACTATCTTCTAATCCAATAATAAAGTTAGAGAAACAATTATATCAATATTTAAAACCAAAATAAATTCATTAGCATAACCCCCATGTATATATATATATTTAGAATGTTCTATACATTTGTTTAAGATAAATGATAATATTATTCTATAGAAAGATATTTATAAAATACAAAATTTGTGAAGTAATGTTATATGCACAACCTTCTAAAACCATGCCATGTATGTGACATCTGTCTTTGCCAGGTTTCTTGGGTTAACTGCCGAGCTAATACAATCAAGTATGAATTGAGTAGTAACAGTTGGTGTGGAACTTATATGGCTCAATTGTGCTACTTTTCTAATAATTAAATCAACATTCGTTTGAACCATTTCACACAATTGTGGGTTTTCCACGATTGGCCTATGTAAGTTACTGTACCATGAAATGATTTCATCTCTAATGAATAATGTCAAATAAGTACTTAATTCATTATCTGGCTCCATTAAGGCCTTTGAGATAGCAAATATATGAACGGCAAAGATACCTTCTAGAGCTGAATCACCAATTAACTTTTGTATGTTTGGAGTCAATCTAAATGGAACAGGTTCATTATTGTGGAAAATTGGTGCATCTGCTGGTAAGCTAATTTCTTGATTCGATAACAGTGGTTTAATTCTTTCGTACGGATACCTCGAAGGCAACATTTCCAAAGTAAAAACATTACCAGATTTTCTATCAATATGAATCTTATGTGGAGTACGATTATTAATCATCATTATGTATGTCATGAATACAAATGAAGAATAATGAGAAGTAAATTGTTTCCTAAATAACCAGAAATCTTCAAATTGTGTAAATAAAGACGTAAAGTAATCCTTTAATACAGTTGTAGGTAGGAACAATGATTGAATTGAACTGAAAATTTCAACCTTAACCACTGTAATATCAGGGGTTGGAAGAGCCTTATCATGGGCAAAGTTTAATTGTTCTAATACATAATCTTGAATAGCATCAGGCTCTAATGATTTTCTTGAACAATATTCGTCATATATTTGATGCATAGTTATAAATGATTCACTATCATTCATAATACGAACTTGAGGGGATAATGGTACTGCAATTGGTAAAGAGAATTGTATATCACGACGCCTTGTTTCAACATTCTTAGATAATGTTTCATTAAACAATCTAAATAATTGGAACATTCTTTCTTCCCTTCTGGAATGCCTAACAGCAGGGTATTGCACTGCAAATGGGTGTATACTACCATCATGTCCACGAATAGTGATTCTTCTATATGAAGAGTGAGTACCACGAACAAAATCAACTTTTGGTAAAAATCTTGCAATTTTTATAAAGTGAATATTAGTGTCTTTATTCAACAGATATTGTCCCGGAATTTCGATATCTTCAAATTTTTGATGGTGGAAATTACTCAAGTGAGGACACAATCTTTCTAAATATTCGACCTTTGGAGCTCTGTCTAATTTATTTTGAATACGTCTACGCCAATATCTCAGCCTTTTAATATATGTTTCAAAATCAGGCTTGCTGTCAATAAAGTCCGCATTAAATTTAGGGCGAATGTGCGGAGCTAATAAAGTTTCTGAAAATCTAACCAAGTTGGCCTCTGTATTTGCTGGTAAACTTCTATTTCCTCTTGGCAATGGTAAGCGGTTATAATTGAAAGTTGCATCAAACAATAAGACATTGATCAATCTGAATAAATCCTCATCTGTAGTCGTCTTAAATCTTTCATTTATTTGGGCAACCAGTGATTCCAAAGATAATGCCAATAATGGGTAAGCTGTCTTCAAAATATTATTCAATTCTTGCAAGTACTCCCATGGTTGACGAGAACTATTTTCTTCTGTACCATTACGATTAGCTGCTTCAGTTTTATCTCCAACAACAGCTTGCGTTTGCCTTTGAATAACAGCAAAATCCTCCTTCGTAGTACGTAACTGGAAATGCAAGGCCTGTGGATAACTCTTTGCAATTCGGATTAATATTTGACGTACCATATTTGCTTCCTTATGGGATAGTGAGGTTAACAACTGCGGAATAAACATGATCCAGTACCAAACAGGGACTTCACCACGGAATGATTCAAATGCATTAGATAGAGATCCTGATGGATCATCCAAACTTATCAACCACAGTATTCTACAAAGCAATTTTCTTGTCTTTGATTTTTTATATAAACCAGCTGCTTGCAAGTAACAACTTATGGCATTGCTTGCAAAAGAAATATTTGAAGGCTCCTCTGATAGCCTTCTATCATTGAAGAAACCCCATTGTGCCCAAGCCTTTGCCAAGTTCAAGTCGATTTGAACAGCTGTTGCAAAAGCCTGATTAGCCTCATCATGTGCTCTCAGCTTGGATAAGAACATACCCTTTAAAGTGAAGAACTCTGCCTTTTGAACGGTACCGAAATAAACTAAGTTTGTATTACTAATAACATCCAAACCTGTTGTTAGTTCATTCATATTTTGGTAATGACACTTAGCCTGTTCTCTTAGTTTTAGAAATGCTTCTTGGATTTCAATATTTGGTAAGGTATAGATTTTAGCCAGTTGACTGATACATACTTCTGGCATATTATGTCTCCTAGCAACATGAGCAAACCTGTTAATTACCCAGGCTATTTCATGGTAACCTCTGTAGGCATGTGTATTAATGTTATTGTTACCATTTGCTTGTTGTAATGATGGAATGAGAGGTAGGTATGCATTGTTAATAACTTGGAAAGTATGTTGTCTCCAGGTTACTAAATCATTCCACATGTTGACATCATCCCAAATATTAGGCAAACGATCCCTCCAAGCTTGTAGAACACGTTTAATTTCTTGGGCTTTAGAGTCTAGATTTTGAACAGTGGTAGTGTGAAGATTTGCATACAATTGCGTAGCCTCCAAAATTCAATGTATTGTTGGAAGCCATGTAATAGCCACTTATGTGCAGGAGTGAACCGTTCGGGCAAGGATGACCATTTATGTAAACTTAGTTGAATACCTTCATCACACAAACGTTTGACATCTTGATCACCATTTCTATTATCGGCAAAACCTTGTAGTACCAAGAAAGTTTCAAAAATTTGTCTACGAGGTGTAGGAACATCCATAACACTTTTAACAGATTGTTCTAATGCTTCGCGATCGGCACTCCAGTCAGCAACTCTCCAACCACATTCAAGTAATAAATCAGTAAACCCTTCATGTTTGGCCAATTCTGTTAAAATATCCCAATGTTGAAGCTTTTCAGCACAAATAATCCAATTATCTTCCCATAAGGAATATTCAGATTCCGAATAAGGTAATGTACCGCTACGGGCCTTAACTTGAGCAACCTCATATAGTTGTTGAGCCTTGTCCCAAATACCAAGTTGTTCAAAGGAAAGAGCTATATTAGTTTCAGTGTACTTAGCTCTTCTTCTCCACAATCCATAGAACATATCTTCTTCTTGCAAATTCAAATATAATTCCAAAAGGGCGTCTTCATTTGCTTCTAAAATCTTTGTGTTATCAATTGACGTATTAGTTTGAATGGACTCCAGAATTTTCATTGATTGGTACCAAGAATTATATGAAATTGCCAGATACTTCACTAAATGTGGTGGTAATTCCAATGACTCCACCAAACTAATAGAGTCCAATAACATTGTAATAACATTCATTCTTGACGATAATTGTTTTGTGTGGTAATTCTTTGATAACAAGGATATCAAAGAACGAACAAAACCATATTTTTCATTTCTTGGAATACATTTGTACACCTGAGGAAACAAGTTAACCCAAGCTTTGTGAATAGTTTTAGTATCTTGGTAGAACAATTCAGTCAAAGGCTCCAGAACATCTCTTGATGCGATTTTACACATTTCTTTCAATTGTGCTTTATGACTATCAATAAATTCAGTCAAGGACTTATTAGAAGGTTCTGATGGAATTTCAATATCCTTTGGTATATGATTAGCCAAATTAGAAGGTGATGTTAAGTTAAAAGTGTTAGTTAATACAAGTTCGTGGTCATTTTCAAAAGAGCCGTATAACAACTGTAAAGCTTGATTTAACCATGGATAATCTGCAATAAATTCCCAATTTTGATCACGAATAATATAATAAAGTCTTTCTTTGGCATCACGTTCTAAACTGTTATCTAGGATACTCATGAATTTTTTTCTGATTGCAACATCTTGGACCCTAGTACCTACTAAAAATGGTTGTTCCATACGAACTGTAATTTCGGTATTATTAAAGTGTTTCTGATCAAATAATTCTAGAATAATTTCATAGAACATTTTTGATAATGATGGTTCACCTCTGACTTCAAAAGCTAACATCTTTGTTAGAATTGCTGCCTTTTCCTTTACAGTGGGGAAAACTTCATTATCAAAAACCCACTTCTTTGTTATTAAAATGATTTTTCTTAAGAAGTTTTGATTCATAGAACGGTCAATTAATAAGGCAACTGTTGATAAGAATGGTCTTCTTGAATCTCCTAATGAAGAAACTTTAATTGACAGTAAACACAGTACCTTTTCTAATAACTTAGTCGTGATTTTTGCTTCTTCCATGGCAGCAGCATCCTTAGGTTGAGATGTGCTTAAATCATCTTTACATAGTTTGCTGAATACTTTCATAGTGTTACTTAGTAAAGGTTCAACACTATGAGGGAAGGTCATGAATAAAGTCCATTCTAACATGACACCTGCCGCAATCGACGAGGTATCCTGTAGATCCTGACCAATTATAGAAATTAACGTATCGATAAAGGCTTTACCAACAGATTCTTCTTCAGTATCAATAATTATTTCTTTTTGTTTTATAGCTTTTAGTATTAACCCAAGAACTTTTTGAAGAACTTCCTGAATATCATGATGATCTGCACGTAGACATTTATCCAATAAACTTTGAATTGTGACCAAATTTTCCATTATCCACTCTGCACTTCTATTCGAAAACAACACATACAATACATCTAAAGCATTCATACAATAGTGTAAAATATTTTCAGAGCCTAAATCTTGATAGTTTAAAAATTTCTTGAAATAATTCAATTTGACGTTCACATCAGACCAATGATCCT